GCGAAGGCGTATTTAATTAATATTGGAGTGGACCGAGAAGTTGCAGGAAAGTATGGGTAATATGATTCTTTGCAGTTTGCCATGGATAATGTGGTCGCTTAAAGTTAATAAATTGTCAGTATTTTAAAGGTATGTTTTTTAAATGATAAAGGTCTGCATGATTTAAAAAAAATATTATAAGCGAATTATTGGGAGGGCTGCGTCACCCCCAGCTAACTGAATATCTAACACTTTTCTGGTTCGCTATGCTTGTAATGATATAAACTCTACGTTTCAATTCAATTCCAAAAAGTTCGAAAAATGCAAATTTTGGCAATGTTTATATCTGCGGGTCCCCCTTTGTTATGAGCAGAACTGATGCGCAGAACGGAGTCAACTTGACAGCATATTTAATTTAAGACATTACGTAGAGTTGTTATACGTTAAATAATTATTTAAAATCACCAAAACGCATTAAAATAGCCCCCAAAATGCTGAAAATGGCACTAGTTACCGACACTAGAATTAAAAATTTCCCCGGGGAAACATACCCCGGATCCCCTATAAAACCTCATTGTATTACTGTATATTATGCATGCATGAAGTATTATCACATAATAACTAAATTTATTTTAACTAGCGCCGGGTAAAATTGCTTGGGCCCCTCCAGCGGAATTTTTTTGCCCCCCTTGAGATCCGATCACCTTATTCCATACTTGTTTCATATATTTTTGTATTTGCTGTAATTTTCCGTACATTTGTATTCATATATCCTGTAAAGTGATTTACATTTTTTATTTACACTTCGTTTTGACTAAATCCATCTGACTGATTTAAGATTTTAGGTTTGGAACACGTTTCATCACAAATCACCACGCACAGGGGAAAAAATTAATTCCGAGCAGCATCACCGTCCTTTGCTCGGACAACAAAAAATACCGATTCAAAGCGGTTGATTATCGTTGAAGGTGAAATCCCACGACACATTCAGAGACTCTTTCGCCTCTCTTACAAAGGCCATTGAGTTGCTTAGAAAGTGAGGTAGCGACGGGAAATTTAGTAAAGTGTTTAAAAGAATCTAGTTAGAAATAAGTTGTCGTTGGCACATTGCCTGTGCAATAAATTTACTGCGTCGAACAAGGAAAAGGGTCTGGCTAGTATAGAATTTGAAGTGCTAAAGTAAGTCATCATAACAAAGTCAAAGACGTCTATCGGCACAGAACAACATTGCCATTGGAATCGTGGCACACGGCAAACAAATATTGCCGACACGAAAATCGCCCACAATATTACTTCAACAGTGAGTATTAAGCCCGTTTTCCATTACGAAAAGCAAAAAAATGTACGTCGTTCACGTCGCCATGGTAATAAGGTAATTTCAAAGAGATTGCATACTTTCTTAGATTTTTGAATTTCCTCTGGTAAAACTTTTTTATTTTTAACAAACTACCATATTAGAACAAGCTTGATATTGTAGTCAAATTCATTGAATCAATTTAATTAAAAAAGTGAAATTAGATTTAATTTTATATGTTTAAAGCTGGAGTAATACGAACAACAACATTGCTGCAACTTGCAACAAAATCTGATTTCTACGCATGTTAATTGAAATTGTTTATACACTTAAAATACTCATTAATAATTCATAAACCTTGTGGCAAATCATGCCAGCCATAATATGTCACGTGCATGGAGTGACTTTATATCTGATAAACTCATCTTCATTAGGGAGCATTCATTTTTTAGCTGGGGGGGTGGGCCGGAGAAACTGATGTCTAATTCCATGCTAAAACTTGGAACCCCCAAGAGAAAAGTTGATAAAAAATTATGACCCCCTATTTTTTTTACTGAAAATTTTTTTGACCCCTCATCCTAACTATTAATAATCCACACGGTGTCGTTTCCGTAGCATTTCATGGCCATAGGAAGCTCTTTTTGACTGGGGGGTTGAAAGCGAGGGCCGAAGGCCCGAGGAAATTTTTAAATCTAGAGTCTCTGAAATGCCATTTCCTGGACTTTGGGGAAGATTTGACAGAATTCTGATGGTCAGAAAACAGCGTTTTAGTATGTCGAAATTGACAATTTGGTAGTACTAAATGGGCGAACGCGTATTTAATTAACTATATATTGGATAACTAGGATAAGTTGCAGGAAACTGTGGGTACTATCTTCATTCTTTGCAGTTTGTCATGGATAATGTAGCCGCTTAAAATTAATAAAGCTTAAAATTGATAAAGGTCATGATGAAATGCATGCAGACCTTGAAACCATGCATGATTTTGAAATCATGCTACGGTCCTGCGTTTTCTTTCATTCATGTTTTCACACAAAAACGGATAAAAACGAGGTCAATTGACGAACGTCATGGAAATGTTTTCCTATGGACTGTGTGAACAGAGCGTCAAATGAATTTTGCTTCTTTGTTATAGATGACGAGATAGTTGATAGATTCTAGACCTTTTTACCATTCTTGATCCAAATATTTCCAAATTCAATAAAATCATATTGGTGATTTTTTCACCGATTATTTATATGACCCCCACCATTTATACCAAAACTATAAAAAGACCCACCCTTTTGAAGCATGTCAAAATTGGCTGACCCACCCCCAAATTCCTCCGGCCCACCCCTCCAGCTAAAAAATGAATGCTCCCTAAACTAGAAATACATGCATGCAGCCACCACTCGCGTGCATTTTCCTAACATTTATTTAACATAAAGTATTAGTAATTGATCAACACTGAACGCAGGCTTGCGTTTACGTCAGTGTTGCCATGGCATTATGGCAACACGATAAATTTAATGTTTAATTTATTATATTTTTTGTACAACACGCCAGAAATAGTTAAAAGATTACTGCTTTTAACTATATATATATATATATATATATATATATATATATATATATATATATATATATATATATATATATATATATATATATATATATATATATTAGGTATGTTATGATACGTAATATAAGCTTCAATTTAAGGTAAAATACAACCACAAACGCTTCGCAAATTTTGTTTATAAAACTAAAGTTTTATAAACTTTCTTTATAAAACTAAACTGATTTTAATTATAAAATGGCTTTATTGGTAAACTTTGAATTCGCAATAAAATGATTTCAAATCCTCGCATGCAAATAACTTTGCTTTCTTTTTTGTTTAAAAAGTTCAATATAATAAAAAGGGAATCAATGTTAAAGATACACTGAAATTATATGCTGTCTTGTTTAGTTATTTGTTTCATATACGCAAAGCGGTTTGGCAAAGCCCCGCCAAAGGCCGTCGGGTTTTAAAGCCATTCTAAAATCAATATTTAAAACAAACGTTAATACCTTTGTTAACGTCGGCACCGCAATTTTTTTTTCCGTAGACAGTCGGACTCCTCATTGATAGTCGGACGCATCATTGATCCGCGTCCAGGCCTCCGCGCGTTATCAATGAATCCCTTCGTAACCCACTGGTGCACCATATATCCATCACTCCACGTTGTTCTTCTTCGACCACGTGTAGAAAGATGAACGATTACTTCGCGATGCCATAATAAATCTACAAACTTGTTTTTCTGGTTCCGAAAATACTCAAGAACGGTTATTGCGAGTTAAAACTATATATCATCCCTTTTGAAGAGAATCAGGATAAGATAACTAGCGTGCGAGGAGATAGTGGAAGTTAGATCAGTCAAAGCGACACTAATCAATACCACTTTAACAAATAGAAGTATTGCAGAATACCCTGTGTACGGAATACATATCATGTAGCCCGGCCACTATTTTACTGGATACGTATATACCAGATGTTATTGCCTCGTTCTAATATACAAGTTAAAACTAATTACTAAGACATTTAATGTTTAATATTATGCTTAGTATGTTTTATAATATAAAATATTTTCTCCCAGCGACGCTAATTAATCATAATCTGTCAAACACCAATGTCCGGTTGTGAGGAACATATTTGCATATACGTTTGCGATGTTACTCTGAGTGCATATCCACACCGGGCGAGCTTGAAAAATATGCCCGGCCACGGTGGGATTTGAACCTACGACCACATTTAAATTAAGTTCTCTATAGCATGAGAATTTAATCCATTACTGCCAACTAATTACTGCCACGCATTCGCGTATCCACTAACATATATAGCTACCTATAGCGTGAGAATTTGATCTAATGCTTTAAATCTAACTGTATGCCTCGTTCTCAAAATACCTACTTGACTGCGTATCCGCGTATCCACTAGAATAGAGAGCTACATCTGACAATTTAATCTATTAATGCTAAGATGCAGGTGTATTAATGTAGATGTATTAATACATCGTATCCATGATTTTGAAAGGCATAGCTTAAAAAGTGGATTGGTATTCTCACTATTCTGCAATGCCAATCGGTCCTGTCGGATGTCATCACCACACAAGGTATGATGCCACAATGTGTCCTGCTCAGATTTTGACATCTCAACCAAGCAATACTGATTTTAAAATCACCAATTGCGAGCGACGAGTATCCGCTGAATATTTTGTTTAAGGGCGCGGGCCAATGATGCGTCCGACTATCAATGAGGAGTCGGACTGTCTACGGAAAAAAAAATTGTGTCGGCACCCTTCTTTTAGCCGATTCTATCGCCCTTTCTTTCTCAGAAAACTTTTCGAATTTACAAAATCTTGCAAAAATGCGAGCAAAACTGAAATATATTTGCAAGAAATTTATCAATCATCAAATCAAGAAATTGTTGCTATTTCGCTGTCGTCATGCAGTCGTTATAATGCAAACTTTAAATTGGACTAATCAGTGTCCGCTATTCATGACAGTCCACCATACTTTTTGGATCAGTGAGGATGACCACCCATCGTTGGTCACCCACGCCCGCGATGATTGATGAACTTTAGACTCCGCTAATGCTTTCGTTTCCCCGGGTGTAAATAGCCGGGGGAATTAGTACCCTCGCACTTCGCGCCGTCGGCTCGGGGATAAAACACTGATATCGCTGTTTATCGTGAAATCAATGCTCTAGCTACTTACGTTTAATAAGATGACGTTGGCAAATAAAAGGGTACTGGTTGGAGCATGGAATATCATTCCATTTGCCATTATTGTTATAAAAATGTACGCAATGTTCATGGTTGGGACCATTTGGTTCTCCGGGTTGCCACTTCATATAGGATGGCATCACTCCTTGCACGGTATAAAACTTATTATCCTTATGTCTTCGAAAACCTATAAAAGGCTGAGACAGACTTTTTTGTTTCACAATATTCAAGATAGCAGAATTCTCCTTATTGTTCATAGGAACAGCCAGGTCTCCTCCAAGCTTTTGACAGGCGGCTCTTGCTTTAAACCACGTAGTCTTATATGTACTGAAGTAGTAACATGATGAGACAACATTTATCCAACCAGATGGACAAACTTTTGGACCTCCATGTGCTTCTGTAAAATGTAAATTATAAATTTTAAAAGATAAAATAACTCGACAAATAATTAGTGCAACCTGCATAAAAATAAAAATTAAGCAACCATCGTTGAAAATTTCCAAATTAACACCAGCAAGTCATATATAACCTAACCTGCGAGCAGGCTCTCAAGGTGAATTGAGAGCGTGCACTGATGATATACAATTTTGAATATCTGCCCCGTAACGTTTGTTTTTCCAAATATAGAATGTCTATCCTTATATGGTGTTTTTTATAACTTTCGTGTAAACTAAATTTAGACCGTGCAAACTAAATTTAGACGAACAGTTTATACTATTTTTCGAAATATAAGATATTCAAGCAAAAGTTTAAATTACATGTTTTAATACGGTTTTCTCAAAACAGAACATTTCGTGCTTTGAGATAAGATGGCCAAGACCAATTTGATCAGCGAATGCGTTTTTTATGCATAGTGCTTCAGCAGTTGACATATATAGAGCTCAGCGGAAACATATAAATTATAGCATCTGACCAATGAGAATATTCAAAATTGAATGCCATCAGTGCATGCTCTCAATTCACCTTGAGAGTCTGCTCACAGACTATATATAACCATGCAGTGATCACCTATAAAATTATATCTAATTGCTTTTAAAGTGTAATTATAACCCGCTGGTTCAGCACGATAGTCCTAGGAATTTAAATCTAAACGTGCGAATTTAAATCTAGAGCTATATACTGTAAGTCAGCTGACAGTTAAAAATTTCGCAGTTCATGATCTGGTGATCATACTAAAAATATTCATGAAATATTTGTGGGATGTGATCATATTTATGATAGAAAAACGTTAAGCTCGTGCGCAGTATAATGAATTTTTATAATATCAACGAGTATTTCATGACTGGTTGTACAAAATGCATCAACTAGGTTTTATTGACATTATTTTTTTATCAAATATTATTTATACTTAAAATACTCATTAAAAATTCTTATGAATCTTTTTGGCAAATCATGTGGGCCATAATATGTCACGTGGAGGGCATATTGTAAACACTGGACTGGACTTTGGACTATGGACTTTGGATTTTGGACTTTGGACTATGGACTTTCGATTTTGAAATTATATTATTTTTAAGATTTTCGTATAATTATATTAATTAAAATCTAAACCGAGAACGAAAATTTGTTCATGATATAATATTCAAGGTAAAAAATTCTATCAGTTATATAGGTATACCAGTGCAATTTCATAGATATAGCCTGTGGGATAACAGGATTATCTCAGTAATATTTTTTATTTAATATTTAAATTTTTCTAATATTTGTATTTATAGTATGTATAGTACAGTTTATACTGCAGAACTTCTTCTTTATCGTATAGAAAATAGATCTGTTTATAGAAACAATTGTGACAAAAGTATCTTGGCGAATACAAAATATTGCGAAACTATCACGTATAAGTATAAACTACACGTGATTATTATTGCGCCTTTGGCTTTTCAGAACAATTATTCGCCAAAGGCGAGGCCGTGACTATCGGGGAATTTGTCAAATTTGACCAATCAACTTGACAACTTGTAGGATTTGTTACATTTTTATTCACTTGCGCAAAAATACTAATGACGGTGTCCCAGGATTTTCGCCCCCCCTACATTTTCGCCCCCCGGGGGGCGAAATTCCTAGGAATATCGCCCCCCCCAAGGGGGCCAAAATCCTAGGAATTTCGCCCCCCTTTAGGAAATTCGCCCCCCTTTAGAAACTTCACCTTTTCTTTAGGATTTTCGTCCTCCCTTCAAAATTTCGCCCTTCCTATACAGTTGCATGGGATAATTATTACATGGCTTTAATCATTTGAAATCAGTATCAATTCAAAATTGTTAAGACAGAGCTTGAAATAACAGGCGGAAAAGCAGGGTTTCGGTTTCCAACCTGAAAAAAGCAGGGAAAGTCGCGACTGCCGATCACCATGATCGGGAACTTTGGGAACGTTATTTCAAGCCCTGCATGTAAGAATACAAATTTACAATTACATGTATCGAAAGGGCTTTATACAGTTACAGTAGATGAATACTCAATAGGACTTATGACGCTTCACAGCACACCATGCATATTTTGCATTTTCAGTGTTAATCCTTAAACTCATTGTTAAAAAGTAATCACCGTGGTGGTTATTGTAATTATTGGTATTGTTTTGCATCCACGTAATAAATTTTGCATCCACACAATAAATCTTTTCAACTTGCAATCGTTTTGTTTTTAGATCAAAAATTCAAAATTTATATGGGGGGGCGAAATTCCTAAAGGGGGACGATATTCCTAGGAGATTCGCCCCCCAGGGGGGGCGAATATCCTAGGAATATCGCCCCCCTTTTGAGAGGGGGGGCGAATCTCCTGGGGGGGCGAATCTCCTGTGACAACGGTATTGTTCATCTTTGCATAATAGTATACACCGGTTTAACGCCTGCCTAAATAGGCTGTGTATACAATGTATTTTGAAGCACTTAGTTTGTTAGTAACATCAACAAAACGTTACTGTGTAACGGAGTAAACAATTACAAAATACAGTACTAGCAGCCTAGTCCCAGTCGTTCTGAAGCAAGCGCGAGGAAAAACGTGGATGTGGTACGAGACTGGGATCTAGGTGTGACGTCACCGCAAAAGGTGCTTAAGAACGCCTAGCAGATTTCAGTATTTTTAATATGGCGGAAAATTTATTTATATAAATAAGTTTGTAAATACGACAATGTTCGTTGATCATGTTTGATGTCCACATAACCAAGTTTAAACTGTATTAAAAATGTGCTCAATTAAAAAAATTATATACAAATTTACGATACTGAGTCTGAGCAATGGTCGTATAATCGTTGATGTTATTCATATACTCGCAAGTTGTGATCAACACTAGACCATACTGGTATACACAACTACGCTTTCTACTTGACAGGTTTAAGCAGCTGAGGAGATTGGAAATATTCGCCTGATATGACTGTGTTGTCAAAACATTTTTGGTCGGAGACTCAGCATAATTTTCAAGCTTCTAGATAGCATTTAATATGGCTTTATATTTTAGTAAACACGAGTCATATTTAGCCCGTTATTCCATTCTGACTGTATGGTAGCGAAACGTAGCCTATTTCATTGTTCCGACAGCATTAGAGCAAAACTAATGACTTGATTATAAACACAATGGAAATTTCCATAACATTTTCTATTTACAAATGCGATATGCTTGGTAACCAGGCCAGGGACCACTTTTTTGAAATCAGGGACCATTTTACCGAAATCTGCTAGGCTCTCTCGCTGAAGCGTTGCGCACAGCGCTCTCAGGCGTAAAACTTTTAAGACTTATTTAAATATATCAAAGCAGCGAATAGAGAAAGAGAGGGCCTGGGACTAGGCTGCAGTACTAGTATAAACTATTATGCACAGTCAATAGATACATAATACAATACTCAATATATGCGCAATAATAATCACTTGTATAGTTAATATTTTGTATTTGCCGAGACACTTTTGTCACAATTGTTTCTGACAATTAATCTATTATCTCAGTATGATAAAGAAGAAGTTCTGCAGTATAAACTGTACTATGCATGCTATAAATACAAAAATTATATAAAATTTAAATATTAAATCACAAAATATTGGATAATCCTGCTATCCTACAGGCTATATCCGTACGAAATTGCACTGCTGGTATACCTATATAACTGATACTGAGTATTTTTTTCCTTGTATATTATATCATGAATGTGCATGCAGTGTAGCACGCTTTTCAGCAGAAAATTTTCGTTCTCTGTTTAGATTTTAATATAATTATACGAAAATCTAAAAAATAATATAATTTCAAAATCGAAAGTCCAAAGTTCAAAGTCCAGTCCAAAGTCCAGTCCAGTGTTTACAATATGCCTCACGTGGAGTGACTTTATATCTGATAAAACTCATCTTTATTAGTATTCTTTACATAATTGATCATCCGCCCTTATTAGTATGATTATATATAATTGTTCATCCTGATTAATATTCTTTTGTAGTCGTATTTTAAGCTATTCAAAACACTCGAACTCGCGTTTTATCATAATCATCTAAAACACTCGGCTGCGCCTCGCGTTTTAAATATGATAAAACACTCCTTCGCGTGTTTTATCATATTTCATATTCAGATTTCACTTATTAAGCAAACGTTTTTGAAGCCATTTAAAAAACTCGTAGGTCGTGTTTAAACCTAATAAAACACTCTTTATAAGCAATTAGTATTTTGACAACCTCGTTCCCATTCTCGTACCCAGAGCCCTTCTTACGCGCGGTGCGACGAGGGGCTCTGGCCAAATTCATATTCCGAACTGGCATTAACTGGCATCTGATTGGCTAGTTCTAACACCGGACATTAGATAGCTTAAGATCTACGACGTCGACGTCAGCTAGGACGTCAGGGCTATGCAGAGGACTGGGGCTAGGATGTTGTCCTAATGTAGTCCCAGTCCTCTGCTTAGCCCTGACGTCCTAGCTAACGTCGACGTCGTAGATCTTAAGCTATCTATTGTTTTCTTACCATGATTTTATGGTATCCGGTTATGGATTTGGCCAGAGCCTCTCGTCACACCGCGCCTAAGAAGGGCTTTGGGTACGAGAATGCCTCGTTCCAGGAAGCCCTGGTCTGGGCCGGTCAATTTTGCATTCTGTTTGGCTAACACCATATTGTCTAAAAATAACTGAACTTGGCAGTTGACAATAACAACATAATTCAACATTTGTATTTTTATGTCTTTTATGATACTTGTGTGTACGCGAGTATGTTTTGCAAAATAATCTTTCAAAGTAAGACGTTTTCCCGACTGCATGATTTACTTTCGCCTTGGCCGGTTACAAAACTCAAAAGCCGTATCGAAGTAAGCTGTGATGTTTCCTGACAAAACAAGAAACGTCTACTATTATTTAAGCTGTAGTTTTCCTTGTACAGTATTTATTAGTGCAGATGTCTGATGAAATACTACGCGTATTGCATTGTAG